AAATTTTATCCAGTCTCTAATAAGTTCGGTAGATGTAGGTGTCGATAAGTGACTTAAAGCATCGCATTTTTCTTTCGGGAAAAGGGAGCAATTATGATTTTTCTATACCATGAAAATTCTCTCTCTCTCATCTATTTTTCTATCATATTCATTTATCTATCTATTGTGAACATATATGAAACAATGGTTGACTCATTTATTTGATAGTAAGAAAATAAACCTTAGCCACATTACTCACTCGACTGAAATTTTTACCTCCTTCACTAGTAACTTTTTCTCAAAAAAAGTTATGCCGTCAGATTACTTCTAAATCTGTAAATTGATATATAAAAACGCTAGGCATGTCAAATAGCATGTTTTAATTACCATGTAAATGCATTTTTTCAGAGGAATCATTGTGGATACATTTTGAATAAAGGTTATGCGGTTCTCTTCTTTAATATAATAGGGTGCGTATTTTTTTTTCGGGAAAGCTTATCTCAATTTTTTCATCTATTTTACGTAACTCAAATTTATTGAGAGAAATAATATCAATGTCATACCAGTTATGTAAATACATATATTTGTGTAGGAAAGATAGAGAGTTGGGCTGAGGGACTTTCTACCTGTCTTCTCCTAGTTAATTCTCGACGAGGGTAGATCAATTCATCAGTTTTTCGGAAGAAATATAACAAATTAATGCTGTCTATTATTAAAATCCAAGTCCAGAATTTTCTATACGTATTTTTTTCAAGTGCGTTAAGTGTCTCCATGGTAAAAAATATTGATGCACACTCTTAACGCACTTTGAAAAAAAATTTCAAAGTGCGTTGATTTTGTCCCAATTTCAACGCACTTTGAATTTTTTTTCAAAGTGTTTAATTTTTTCAAAGTGCGTTGCCACAGCATCAGTATAATTTGCTCTTGAAGTGCGAAAAAGTAGTTTTATGAACTACAGTATTTGCGTTTGTAGGGGATATAAATAGGCTCTATATAATAAATTAAAATTAGGTATGAATGGAAATGAATATTGTTACTTGATGAATGTTGTCGATATCTATCTAAATATGGAATTAAAGGCCACAGTAACAGTCTTATTCTTTTCATGTAGACTTTTTTTAAAAAGTCTCCTTCATAAGAATACAAAAACTGGTCTGTTGATAAACAATTAGTACCCATGGGAATTCATAAGATTGTCTGAAGACCTGTGGCTCCGGGGTCATAAAACTTACACGAGCTCACTTTTGATCTCAGTCTCACTTTTACCAAAGGAATTAACAGTAGAAAAGTGAGACTGAGATCAAAAGTGAGCTCATCTAAGTTTTATGGCCCCGGAGCCTGGCCCTGGGACCATAAAACTTAGATGAGCTCACTTTTGATCTCAGTCTCACTTTTCACTATCTATTCCTTTTGTAAAAGTGAGACTGAGATCCAAAGTGAGCTCATGTAATTTTATGGCCCCGGTGCCAGGTCCCAGGATTGTGAAACAGACTAGAATTAAGTCAAATTTTCAATCGCCTGTAAAATACTTTTTTTGATTATTGAATTAATCTCTAAATTCGCAGTTAAGAACATTTTTGTTAAGCAATATTGAAAAATATTTTAATTTTGGTTTAATAACTAATAATTTGGCTTAATAAAACATAAATATTTTGACTTAAGCTTAGGATGTTTCAACATCTTAAGCTTAAGTCAAAATCTTTATACTATACTTAATGTTGTAGAAGTCAAGCGGACCAAAGTGTTGTTATTTTCAAATTTTGAGATAAATTCAATAATTAATAAACATTTTACAGGCGATTGAAAATTAGACTTCAGTCTAAGTCTGTTTCATGATTCTGGGGCCTGGTCTCCAAAGACTTAATAAATTGTGGAACTCAGCATTTTTTAAAAAATATCAATCTCAAAGTACTTTGTATAGAATCATGCAGAATGTTTTTTTTTTTAAGTAGGTTTGTAGATGACCATTGAGCTTTCAGTGGGTTTGCTATGATTTTATTTTTCACTTTCAGTACAAAGTTCTTTGACAATGTAAAATCTATTTGAGTTTTATTCAAATACAGCTGGAGTACCTTTGTCTTTTTGTCAGTTGTTGACTGGAGTGGAGGATAACTGTTGATCTGTCGGACCGATGTGCAAACTGTTGCCTGCTTCGGGCCGAAGCCGAAAGCCGCGGGCAACAGTTTGCACTCTGAGAGATCCATTGTAGCCCGAGCCCCCTGTCAACAACTGTTTTGTTCATTATATCCATATGATAAAAGCTTTAAATCAGTATTATTTTCAGTAATTAATAAGGATTTTTTTTTAAATTTGTATCATCGCAGGAAAAAAAAGTCACTTGCGGTCATAAAAAGCGCATCTTTTACCGTCATTCACAACATCGTTCGATTTTTCGAATAATTTCGATCGGTAATCCATATCGTATGGAATTTTCAAGAGTAAGCTTTCCCCTCTAAAATCTTTTCCCCCGGAAAACTGGCTCTACAGTAGGACTTCCCCACGGAAAAATGACTCTAGAGTAGGATTTCCCCTACGGAATTCCCACGCCAGCTTCAGTTTTCCGGGGTGAAATCTTACACTGTATAACAATTATAGAGTGGATTTCCCCAGAGCCAATTTTCCCACTATAAAATATCATGGCTGTACTTGTATATATATGAGGGGCACATTGTAACAAGTGTCCTTTTTCAAAGTAGCGACCAGTTAAATTGCAACATGCGAAGTTAGAAAAATGAATTTTTTTTTAAGAATAATATTTTTCTCAGCAATTGTCCAACCAATTTTGTGAATCATTAAAATCTTATTCTCTTCATCTGGTCACACTTGTTTCTGCACAATGTAATCGGTTGGACAAATTTTAACTGTATCCATAGAAACAAAAAGGAATTTTAGTTTAAATAATTTTTTTTCTACAATTGTATTTCAAACTACATATACATAATATTGAAATGTAGGTGTCTCTGCGGAATTCTGGTGTTTGAATGTTGTCATTGAACTAAAATGGGTCATTTACTTCTAAAAATTTGAAATTTTGCAAAACTTTTAGAGAGTATACGCAATCAGCTTTCAAATCCAGCATTACATAACTGGGCTCGATGGGACATACTTACGTTTCGGCTTACAAAAGCAGTGTTTCTTGTATTGCTTTGTTTTTGGCTTTTTTAATTCCTTTTTAATAACTACTCGATTCAAATACTCGCGAAATGGCACGTGGAACCTATCAATAGCAATTTTTTTTAAAAAAAAAAAAAAAGAATTTTCTCACACACTCATTTTTAAAGGATGAAATACTAACAGAGTCTTTGGAGGCAAACAAAATCAAATCACAAAAGCTGCCCTGATATAATTTTAAAAAATTAGTGATTTTCTTGAGTGACTAATTTTACAATTTCCTATGAGTTAGAAGTTTGGGTTGAGACTCAATGATTTTAAGATTTCATGCTAAATTCGACAATTCTTGAGTCGAAAATATATTTCCATTAAATGTCTTAAGCAATGATAAAAGAGGGGAAAACCTCTGAGAAAGAGAAAGGGGGAAATTTGGCTCTAGTGTGAGATTTCCCCTCCGGGAAAAATCCTACTCTAGAGTAGAGATTCCGGAAAGCTGCATGGGGAAACCCTACTCTGCAACAGCGTCATCGTTCTACCTGTATCTTTTATAAGATGCACAGTAGAATTTTCGAGGCATTTTAATTGACTCACTACACGATTTTTTGGCAATTCTAAAAGAAAAGGAGAGACCGGTGTAACTTTGACCCGGGTTGAAAATTGACCCGAAGAGTCATTTTTCAACGTTGAATATTGAGTCCAAAGATGTTGAATTTAGACCCTATAGTCCGGTTCAATACTCAACGTTGAAATTGAACCCCGGTTCAATTTTCAACCCAAGTCAATATTCTACGTTACACCGGCAATGGTTGATTAACAGTCAACGAGAATATTTCATTCTGTTTTCACATTTTTAACGTTTTTGCTGTCCCTGCTTTCTAAAATGGCCCAAAATCCCCCTTTCTATGCAGCTACGAATCGTACATTGACTGTATATATGCATACCAAATGACGCAAATAATAATCCGTTTAGCATCATATGACGTCACATCGGTCAGCAGTCTTTTCAACAGTCGAATTTAACAGTTGTAGTCCGACAGTCGTCAGAACAGTCAAAATGCTGGACTTTCTTCCTATAGAGTTACAGAGGAAATTTTATAAAGGGATATACATGTAACAAGGTTTCAGATTCACCATGCAGAAAAATATCAACATATTGAACGAGGCTTGAACGCAGCCATTATATACAACGTTGCATGCTTAAGGTGTCACTTGTGACGTCGCTTGCAATCGCCGTTGCAGGGGCACTGACCCTATGGTGAATTCATACGACTTAATTCAAATCCGACTGTTGAATAGGTGTTATCACCTATTCGAAGAGGTGATACATGAAATCTCCATTCATATCAAATATATGATATCATCCATTGGACTAGGTGATATCACCAATTCAAAAGCTGAATATATATAGTGATATCACCAATTCGAATAGGTGATACATGCATCACCAATTGAATAGGCGACATCAGGTGATAATGGCAGTAAATACCAAAACGGAACATGCATGTGTTCTTTTTGTATTTTTTTTGTGCATGTTATTTTCATTATTTTGAATGTATCATCTTTTTGTTCTTTCACTCTTGATATACGACCTAACAGCCTAATGGTTTGTTCTACTACACAGACAGACCGTAAGTATTGATTTTGCTTGCTGTGCCGTTGTGTATCTTATTTATATGAGCGATATGAGTCACAGTTTCTTTCATAACGATATGGCAAGGATGAGCATTTCTCATTTTTAAGTACCTTTTTAAAAAATAGTGTGGTTAGATTTTACACCCTATTTTTTATTTTTATTTTTTGTTTTAGGATTTTGATATAACCCCCAGAAGATTTCTTTTCGGCGGAAGTTACTTGATCGGAGGAAGTGCCCGGATTAATATTATGGAAAATGGCGAATACGTCTAGTAGATGTGTGATGGTATCGAAGTAAATCCGGACTAACAGCATGGATTTTAAGTGTAGTCACCTGGACGTTAGTTTCTAGGAGAAAATTTATAAACAGAGCTACATCCAAAATGTCGACCGAAAAAGTTCGTGTGGCTGTGAGGGTCAGGCCAATGAACAGGCGAGGTATCAGGCGATATTTTGTTTATAAATGTTGACACTAACGCAATAATGAGTAACGGAATATGTTAATGTTATTTTTTTCCTTTTCTTTAAATACAGGATTTATTACTTTTACAACTGATAATTGACCGAATATTGAACAATGTTAGCTGCCTGCGTGTGTGTTTGTCTTCATCTGTCATAAACTTGGATAAGGGTTTGCCTCTAGATAAACACAGGTGAACTCCCACCACCCACAAATATAATTTTCAGTAAAAACTGTTTAAACATAAGTTAGGCTATATATAGAAGCACCCCTGACAGACAGTATATATAACACAGCATTTCTCACTGAATCTTTATTTTAACTTTGATTATAGATCTAACGGCATGTATATATATCTTAAAATTCCATTTTAAAAGTAAATTAAAATATAAAATCTTTTCCTTCAATTAGAGATCTTCCAGATATAGTGATCTCTCAAAATTAGAGATTTTAAAGTCATATTGTATTTTGTAAATTGAAAGCAGAACTGGTCTATGTTATGGATTATGGATTGACAAATTTAATGACAATATATATATATCCATCTGTGTGTGTGACATGTGTTTATTTGTAGTTCATGTTTACTGTGATATAACTTTGATGTGGGGGGACCATTCTGATTAAAAGACTTGATGAATCAGGATTTCATTGGTTTAATTTGGTATCAACAAATACCTGGTCAGGAACATATAATTATTTGTTTTAAATCCTCACTGACTGAGTAATAAAATGAAATTCTTAAGCAAAGGTTTCATGCACATGTATTCACTGCTTCTCTTCTTTTTATTTTCCAACTGTATCTTGTTGTTACGTGATGAGCACAAGTCTTCTGGCTCTGGTTCTCTCTAACTCCAAAAAATTTTGTTTGTAGTACTTTTAGTGTTTATGCCCCTAATACGTTATATTTCCATTAGTGAACTCTTCAAAATTAGAGGCGCGTTTGGTGATCTGACTGGGACAGCATGGCGTTGCGGATAATACAAAATATGCCAATCTCAATCCAATTTTAAATGTTAAATGTATTTGTCATTCCAATTAAAGACTAGAAGAACTAAAAGACATAATTATGTAAGAGAGCGAGAACCCTAAATTTCTCATCCATTAATAAAAAATACGACATTTCCGAGGCATGCACATGTGCATTGTATTTAGATACATACCATACGATAAATAGATACATACGATCAACAATAGATATAAATTGATATCGTTGTCATTCCTACTCTTGATGTTTATAAAGTCCACAACAATAAAATATTTCATTTGCATTTTCTTAGGAATTGTTCATCGACATTCAACATATTGTTTACATGTTTATGTTACGTTTGTCCCAGAAATCCCGCGAGATTTGTACATTTTCCGACTTTTTCACAAAAGAGCGCACTAAGAAGTATAACTCTTCCATAGTGGAAATAGAACGTATTACTTGTAGTGATGGGGAATCGGAAAAAAAATCAGAATTGATAATGGGCATAATCGATTGATTATTGATTATAATCGGAATCGGAATTTTTAACTTAAATGAAACAAATATAAAAAGTTAAACTTATTCAGGTTTCAGTTCAGACTTTTACCAAAAAATCATTTAATTAAATATAATATTTAAAAATGTTTATCAATTTTTCTTTTAATAAAGTGAATTAAGAAAATTCAGATGCATTATATTGTAACTACACATTCATAGGCTTAAGTTGGACAATAGGACTATAAGATGGTCATTAATAAGAGAGCAACATAGCGATTAGTGATTATATTTAAATTAGATTTACAAGAACTTAGGAGTCATTTTATTTTTACTCCACTAATGTTTTATGTTCAAAAATTTTTTGTTCCTGCTGATGAGAACTTAAATGTAGAATTCCTCATAAAGGCAAATTTTGATAGAAAAATACATATTTTGTAAAAAATGAAATTGCCAATTTGAAAGTAAATTGAGATGCACATTGTTGTGATTTGTGTCATAATTAATTTAATATTTTAGTACTTCATTAAAATTGCTTATTGATATCTGTTGCAGAAATTGATATGTCAACCAAAGTGGTGGTGGATATGGAAGATAACCAAACCATACTTTATCATCCAAGCAGGTAAAGTAAAAAAAAAGGCAATCCATCACTGCTGGATAAAGAATGAGGAAATCTCATGAACTCTAATTCCAACCATACAGCTAAAATATTTATATAATAATACACAAAAAATTATAATAGAATTAAGGGACAATGTACATAGTATATGTTGTCCTTTTTTTTAGTTAATTGACTATTGCTTGTTTCAGTTCCTCTTATTCAGAAATGAATTTTTATACCTCCATAATCAGAGATTCAGGGGCATTTAGTTTTTGCACCGTCTGTCCATATATCTGTCTGTCTGCAAAAACTTTAACCTTGCCCATAACTTCTGATTGATTGAAGCTAGGTCTTTCATATTTCACAGGTGTATTCCTTGTGACAAGACTTTTTTGGGTACTAACATATTTGACCTCTTGACATTGGAGTTTGACCCACTTTTGCAGAAATTTACAGAACTTTAATCTTGCATGGCCATATCTTTTGAACTGTTGGTGCAACAGTTTTCATACTTCACATGTGTATTCCTTGTGATAAGACATTCCCTTGGGTACAAATGTTTTTTACCTTAACCTTGGAGTTTGACCTACTTTTGAAAAACATTAACCTTGGCCATAAGTTTTAAATGGTTGGAGATTAGCCTTTCATATTTCACATGTGTATTCCTTGTGACAGGACCTTCCCTTGGGTACAAATGATTTTGATGTTTTGACCTTGACTTTGGAGTTTGACTTACATTTGAAAAAACTTTAATCTGGGCTATAACTTTTGAAATGTTGGTGTTAGAGCTTTCATTTTTAAAACACGTTTTCCTTGTGACAGTTAAGAACTTTTTTGAGTAGCAACAATGTTGACCTGTTGACCTAGACCTTGGAGTTGGACCTACTACTTTAACCTTGGCAATAACTTTTGAATGCTTGGTGCTAGGGTTTTTCCTACGGGTGTTTTCTTTGTGACCTTTTCTTAAGTACTAATATTTTTTACCTCTTTATCTTAATTGATCTTGGAGTGTGACCTAATTTTTGAAAAAGACTTTTACCTTGACCACTTTCTGAATGGTTGCTGTAATGGCTTTCATATTCTCATATAACACTAACTCCTCAGGTGATTGAGTATTCAAAAGTAATTTAATGGGATATCTACATGTACTTACCATAAACAGAGGAATGGTGGAAATTTGGATGAAGAAAAAAATGGTTGCTTTTAGAAATAAATAAATCAAGTTCTGGTACAAACTGCTGCATAGGATTTTTTTGATTATAGCTGGAAAATTTTAAAGCTTTTCATGCATTTAATGAGTAAATTCAACTTCTGATTTTTCACTTGTGTGAGGGCTACCTCTGTTCAGAGAACCACTAGCCTGAATCTTTAAAAAATGATTAAAAATCTGTAGCCCCTGGCATAAGGCGATCCTAAATGTATCCCTATCATACAGGGCGGACTCATGTTCAATAGACTTAGTTTTACCATTGAGTTGATGACATAACAGCGCAAATATATTATGATACTGGTTGCAAATTAAATTGAGGTATCTGTTTTAAATATTTATTGGGATATAGATTCTGGTTGATATTTAATCAAATTAGGGCTGAATCAATATATCGAAACATATCAATATTAAAGTGTGTATTGTATCAAAACATTAACTTCCAATATGTATTGGTCAGACAGCTTTTCTTTAATACTGTGTAAAAGTTTGGAATTTCAATCATAATAGAATTGCTTTGAGTGTTCTGAAATAAAAACTAGCCAATAATGAAATAAACTTTAAGCAGACTACACAACTTATAATTATTGCATTACATATTATACCACTGTATTTCGTTAACTTTACCAATAGTAAAGGTTTGAATCTGAAGTGTATTTTATAATGGCAATAAGACAAGAACTAGAAAATGTTATTAAAACACTCAGTTCTTATCAGGTTTATGCATTGAATGATTCCTAAGACTTTTTTGATAGCATTTATAAAAATCCAATATATCATGTATTTTATCGAATTTTTTTGGTTCAGTTACACACCCTTAAATCAAATCTGCCATAGTCATGAGATTTTTTGTATTCTGCATGGGAGAAAGAAGAAAAAGTTATTTTAGATGAGGAAAATAAAAAAAAAATACATAGACAATCATCATTACTGATTTTGATGCTTTTAAATTATCCATTATCCTTGGCTTTTGATTCCTGAGGACTTCATTTATGAAGTGGAATATTAACTAGTTAAGGTATTTTTTGATCATTTCAAGCATACTAAAGTATATTTCATTTGAAATGGCTCATTTTTATGCCCAGTCATAAATCTGGGGGCACATAGTGTTTATAATGTCCCATCTTCTTTCCTTGCATCAATCTGTTCTTCCATCCTTCTGTCATTCATTGTCTATCATTTGCATTTGGCTCATCTAGTTTCAAAGAAACTGTTCAAAACATTTTTACCAAAATTCATACACAATGTCACCATGACACCTCTAGTTTTAACAAACATTTCAAAAGTCTGTATCACATGTAAGATATATACTACTAAATGAATCTTTTTCTCAAATATTTCCTTGTTCTTTCTATTCCTTTAGTACAAAAGGCCAATACAAGTACACTGAATACCATATCTTCCCTAATTAGCATCTAAGTATGCTCATAAATCAACCTTTAATAAAAATTCTATTGTTTTTTTTAAAAACAGTAGTTGTACAGATTCACATGATTGGGACTTTGTTAGATCACACATGTAAACTCCCTTTTGTAATAATGTATTGACTTTCATTCAAACAAAAGTAATATCAATGAAATAATCAAACATGTAGCATTTCCTACTACTTAAAGGGTATATTGTCCATGGAAAGCAAATCTTGATTCATTTAGGGAGTATTTTTTCAAGAACGAATCAAAGACACTCAGAGACTAGATGTAGGACTAAAAGAACAGGCTGTTATGCATAAATATAAGTGCGTCGACTACTTTAGGGTGTATATGGTCTATCTTATTTTGAAGGAGGAAAAGTTTTGATGTAATTATGGATGTCTAATTCATTTCCTTCTGGGTAAAATGATATTACTTAATCACCAATAGACCATTGCATCTTGGGGGCTTTTCTGTGTTTTTATTAGCTCACCTCAATGAAGTTGGAGGGAGCTTATGTGATACATTCGGCGTGGGCGTGGCAGGTTAAAGTTTTTGGTGCAGTTTTTTTTTAAGTACTTCTATGCTCTACATTAATCAGAGATGCATGGAAGATGCTTCTAGTGTGTTTCATTGTACCAGCCAAGGTTTCAGATGCTGAAATTTCAGCAAAGGAATGACCAGATTAATTTTTTTTGAAGCAGGTTAAAGTTTTTGGTGCAGGTTAAAGTTTTTGGAGTAGGTTCATTCTAAAGTAACTATAAGCCCTATGTTGACCAAACTTGCATGGATGATACATCTAAGGATACACACTACCAGGCTTGCTTCAGATGCTGGATCTGACCTACATTTTACGGATGAGTAAACAGTTTAAAGTTTTTGGAGCAGGTTCATTGTAAAGTAACTATATATTGAGATGCATGAAATGAAAATTGTTGCATGAAAGATTTGAATTTCAAGCTTTATTTTGAGACTTTTTAAATTAAATAATAATTCTAAGAGTTAATCATTCCAGGCTGAAGAGTGGATATGTAGTACAAATTCATATTCATTAAAGTCATTGCCCCAGGTGTTAGGATTGGGTTATAATAGGGATTCAAAGTTTACATGGGAATATATAGAAATTAGAAAATAAAAAAAATGTTTAAGAATAACAGGGCCACAATAACTTAGTAATCAGACATTCTCAAGTCATGTGGATTCATGTATTTATGGATGCACAGCAAGACCAGTTTTGATCATTCAAACTATATAAAAATATAACTATATTCACAAATATAGTTATAGATACCTAAATGAAGTGATGTTTAACAAGATATGATATTCCAAACCAATCTGATTGTTTTCAAGTTTATTACAAGTATGCGTAATATGTTTAACTTGATTTTATGATGAAGAACTATTTTGTGTGAAACTGTTTAATATGTTTTAGATATCTTTTGGAAGTGTCTTTTGTTATCAGTGATATTTGAACTGTTGCAAGGTTTTGTGATAATTGGACTGTGAGCATCATAATGAACCTTGGCACTGGAATGTAAATAACTAGTCATACATGTAGTACACAGTAAGGAGATGGTCACTTGCTGAACAGACATATTGTTTGCAGATAACTGAGATAAGTTAAACAGACTGAATTGTATTGGTTGATAATTACATATTTTGTTTGCATGTGCAGTCTGTTCATAATATTAGAGTACATGCTTCTTATATTATAACATCAATTGAAAATGGAAAAAAAAACGACATTTTTTTTATAGACAGATTTTCTCCATGTGAAATGGACAAGCCCTGGCTTTGGATGGGGGTGGGGGAAGAAAGGAGGGGGTTGGCAATATGGAATTGAAGTTTTACATGGGAAAAATCTTTTCAAGAACAGCAGGTCTATCAGTAGTCATTAATATGAGCATCCTCTTGTATTGCAGATTCAAGTTTGTTCAAATCATGACCCCTGGAGCTAGGATGCAACTAAAATAGGGATTCATATATAGTTATACTTGAGAATATGTAGGCAATTAAAAAACATGTTTTCAATAGTAGCAGGGCCATCATGTTAATATAATACATTCCCAAGTCGCGTGGATTTTTTTTGTTCAAATTATGGATCCTGAGGTAAGGGTGGGGCTAAAATCAAGAAAATGCTTGTAGATTAAGGGTGCAACGATAAACCGTTTGACGGTTTATCGTGGTATATTTTTCCACGGTTCAATTCACGATACGCTAAACTGATATCATGGTTCGGTTCAATCGGTCCAGAATTATCCGAATCGTCCGTTTTGTTTCCTTTTTTACAATTTCAAAATGGCTTCCGCGCAAAACGTGAGGTCGCTGATAATGCTTTAACGAAAGTTAAACTCATCTCCAGCATCTTACAGACCTCAGATTTAACACGGAGGAGGACTTAATGT